AGGAGCGCCAGTCTGAGCCATGGGCGGTTGACCGTACGTCTCGTAAGCTGATTGAGCAGGGGCAGCAGCAGGAGGAGAAGCATAGTACTGATTGTAGCTAGCATTGTTGGCAGCCAGTTGAGCTGCTCTGTCCCTCTTTGCCCTCAGAACCAAAAAGATGCTATTGATTGTAGTGATGATTGCCAGACCAGCGCTGAGCCAGGCTAGAGCGAGGGTAGCGACAGCTCTGCTCTTCACATCCCCCACCTCCGCAGCATTGACGCTAGAGCTGTTGCTGCTGGAGGAGGAAGAAGATCCTCTGTAGCATCCGCTTCCGCCAAAGCCAAAGGTAAAGGGATAAGTGTAGCAATCACCGTCGTCTGCAAAGCCCGAAAATTCGGTGGGGTCGCGTGCAGTGTAGAGAGCTGCGCCGAGGATGCACAAAATGGTCACGCAGATGGTGCACACTAGGACCGCGGCCATGGGCCACTTGGCCAGTCTGCCACTTCGCATCACCAGCAGAGCTGCAATGGCGATGAGAGGAATGGTGAATGCGAGAGAGATCCACGTAGGCCAAATCAGACCGATCTGGCAGGCGGGACAGAAGAAGAATCACAATCCGCACCCCGTGGGGCAGATGAAGGAAAAGAATTGATCAGCGCTTGTTTTGGTTTCCCAATCCTTTCTGATTAGAAAATGCGCCTGCGACTGGGTGAAGCGGCTACTCACGGCTGCTGAGATTGCTGGACTGCTACCGAATGGTGCGCTGACGAGGACACTGATGGCAAGCGCACCTGCAGCGACGATTATGATGGTGTGCAATACGCTCAGAACCAGGAGAGCTATAGCAGAGAGCGCGCACAGACAGACGATCAGCAAAGACTCGGCGCTTCGACGCGGCTACACATGGCGTGTCTACTCACCAATGGAGAGGGGTCGGTGAGAGGCGTTTGCGGGCGCCATGGTGTCGTGCGGGTCGAGGAGTGTGAAGCAAGCTGCTTTCGTTTGAGCACCAAATGTGCGATGCTGATGATGAGACGGAGCGATGCAGATATAGCTGAGCAAAATGACGACAATCTGTTTGCTTGTGGTGCGTGTGTCGAATGGATGCTGACTGGAAATGCAAGAGTCGTGAGTGCTGACAACTCCCGCAACAAAGTGGAGATTGGTTCTTCACCCGGACTCCTTTATAGCTTTCGCTTGTCCTTGCATGTGCCACTCAACACAAGTCACAATCGTGAAGCGTGCACTGAGGTTCCAACAATCCGCATGAAAACACAAGGAGCGTGGCGGCACGAGGTGCGTTGTGACCAGCTCATAGCTGCTGCTGTATGCTGTGCATGGCTGAGGTGCATGGCATGGCTCCCACAGTCGATCAAGCA